CGCGCCCTCCCCGGCCGCCGTCAGCCCTGGCGCGTAGGACAAAGGTCATTTTTTAAGGCTGCGGTCAGGATCGCTGTCCGCGCCCCGTAGTGCTCGGGGGAGAATCCAGCCGCTCGGGTGCGTCGGGAGGACGCAGCAGCCCGCGCAGGTCCGGCCTGTTCTCCAGGCTGGCTCCGTGTAGCCCCAGGCTCTCCTGGACCGCGCTCGTAGGAAGATGCGTTTCCATGCCCTGCCTGCCAGCACGTGGAAGCGAGGGGGGTTGCTGCCCTTTCCCCTAGGAAAGGCCGGTGCTTGCATAACACGACTTTCCTTAAAGCGAGCGGTTAAGGCACGTCCAGGCAAGCGTGTGCACGCACGGTCTTTGCACGCAGCCAAAACGAGATACCGGGAAATCCCGGTATCTAAGAAAACACACCAAAAACAAAAAGAGTGGCGTGGCGCGGCGCACGTGGCAGCAGCGTGGGCTGCCCGAACCCGGAGCCAGGCTCCACGCGCCCCGGGAGCCCCAGGACAGGCTGCGGGGGCAGCCCAGGTGCCGGCTCCGCCTCTCCGGTCCCAGCGGGGCAGTTTGCGGAGCGCGCGAGCAGGGACGTCCCCGGGGACAGGCAGCGACACCATGACCGCGGCCGCTGCTGCTCGTCCCTGGGGAAGGGAGCGCGCGCGCTTGTCGGGACACGTCCTCAGAGCCCAAGCGACTGCGCGTGGGGGTCCCTTGCGGTGCAGATCGCTTACCAGAGCCTCTCGTTTCCAGGTCTCTGAGAATCTTGTCTCGGCTGAGAAGAAGGATGCGAGCGCGCACTGGGTACGATCGCTCTCGCCTCTGTCCTATAGTTAGTTTAACACCAGTTCTCCTGTCTCCTGAAGCCGCACTAAATACCGCTTTTCAGTTTGGAGCCAGGCGCTCGGTAATCAGACAGTTGTCAGGTCTGTTTCTGGAGGAGAGGACGCGTCCTGGTTTCTGAGACTGCCGGGGAGCAGCGAGCGAGGCGCTTGCCAGCGTTTCCCGAAGCCTGGTGTTATCTGGTCCCGTGGGTCCCTTTGCTAAGCGTGGCTCAGCATGGCCATCGCAGTAGGCCTCCCCCAAATAAGCTGGGCTTTATCCCCTCGTGAGTAATCACGTGCTTCAGCAAAAAACAGTCGGGCGCTGAGATTAGCAAGCTGCAGGGCCGGACGTGCCGGGCACCCTCTCAGCGAAAGGGCCCAACCTGCTGGCGCTGCACGGCACTGGAGAACCGTGCTCTAAGCAGATCTGGGTTTTTCAGAAAAGGAGCAGACCGCTTCAGTTGTGCGTCAGCAGGATTAGCTGCGATGCTGCTGTCGAGGCTGGTGGGCCGCTCGTGGGAGGAACGGCAGCCGCGGATCCTCTTTACACGGGTCACCCCGAGTTGCCCATGCAAACACATCCCGTTGGCTGCAAACAAGCCATTTGTTCGGTTCCTTTGTCTGAAAATCACTTGCCCGTCGTGGGCGTGTCAGCTGTGCAACTCCTCCAGGAGGACTGACACGCTTCTGCCTTTTCCTTTCCCACAGCGAGTCCCCGCAGGAGAGGCTGAAGAGAATGAAAGCCCAGATGAAGTCTGAAGTCTTGAGCATCCTCAGCAGCATGGCGGACCTCTCCAATGCCATCCACTGGCTGCCACCAGGATTTCTCTGGGCCGGACGGTTTCCTCCGTGGCTAGTGGGTCTTATGGGGACCATATCATCCCTTGTTGGTGTCTACCAAACATATGTAGGGGAAAATGCTGGGACTGTGTGAACCATACGTTCAGGTGCAGGAACCCAAGGTGTCTATGGTAAAGGTACACTTACGTGGGTACAGTATTCACGCACAGAGCCTCCTGTAATTAGGGTGTCTGTAATGAGAGGGGTTAATTCGGGTTCATGTTTTTCTGGCTCTTCTGCACCCTCAGTATAGAAAGAAGCATAGGACTGATGTGCCTGCTGCAAAGGCAAATGGCGGGGGGAATAGTGCGAGGACGGCCTGGCTCAGGGTTTTCAGAGACAGAAAAAGGACTTCCCACTTCCCACCCACGGCCGCTGGAAGGCAAGGGCCCGTCTGCGTCCTCTTGGCACAGAAACCTGGGGCTGGGGGTGGCGGAACGGGAGCGGGTCTGACAGCAAAACACCAACCTGCAGCTTCCCGCCCCGCTGCCCCCCGGCACGAGCTGGGGCTTGTGCAGTGCTGCGACAGCAGCCCCGGCCCCGCTGCTTCCAGCTGCCAGGACAGGCGCTGCCACAGCAAGAGGCACCTGATGCGAAGGGGTTTACTTGTCTGCCTTCGCTCCGTGGAAGTCTCGTTTCTTTGATCTTTAAGCCTCGAACCAGAGCTCCTGCCTGAAGAGACGGATGTTCAAAGGCTGGTGTTGGTGGCTGTCTCACACTTGGGCTACAGGTGGGACGGTGAGGAGCTAATGATCACTGCCACCCGTCCTGGGTGGGTTTTGGGAAGCTCGCCCTTTAGTGTGTGTGGCTTCTCTGAGCAGACAAGTTCACAGCAGAGATCTCATGGTTTGCTCAGAACAAGCAAAATGGCATGGTACCTTCAGGTGATGCTCATCACAGCGTGGCCGTCTCCGGCCCCTGCTCTCATCAGAACCTAGTTGCTTTTTAAAAAGGAATCAAATGCATTTTAATGTCGAGGGGACCAATCCTGGACTGCCGAAACCAGTCCTACAACAGTCAGTGTAACTGTCTCTCTGGCTGTGCCAAATAAAGAGCCGACCACTTCAGAGGGGACTGCAGGGGTGATCATTTTTGTTATGCGCGAGACACGTTTCTCTGCCTCCGGGCTGCTCCTAAGCAGGCCTGCAGGACCCAGGTGGTGGTGCCGCCCCCGCCAGGCTGGGCGCTTGCCGCAGCTGCTGGGACCCGTGCGCTGGAGCCTGATCCTGCCGGTTCGCCGCCG